CTGAACTCACGGCCTAATAAGAGCGTCTAGTTCAAAATATCCAAACTCTCTTGAGACTAAAATAAACTTGACCTAAAAGGTCATGTAATTAATATARCAATGRACGTTTTAAAAGAGTCCTTGCTTTCACTGATAAMATCAAACGTGCTATGTAAGTGATAACRWTGACCTCTCAGGCCAAGAAGATACTTTACAAAGTAAATGATACCTATAAAATCATTAAACTAGCCTTTTTAYTGATAAAAAATGTTTCTTCTTGTTCTAATTTGAAATCTTTGCTCACACAACACTGCCTAACGCTAAAAAGGCCATTGATTTAGTTTCGAAAGCATACTACTCGAAGCACCAAGCGATCTGCACATGCCCGTACTTATGATACCTAGACTGATGCATTCCGATGAGATCACAGATACCACATTTGTAAACGAATAGTTTTTTTTGTCATATAAAAGCGCAAGTAGCATATAACAGTTACTAACGATATTYGTACATCAATAAGTTTGAGCTTYCAGTCATGTGATAACACAGGCAACCCAAAACTCGACATGATACATAGATAGATTGGCTAAAAGGTCAAACTTAAGTCGACCTAGCCTTCAGATAGTCCRACTAAATAAAAAGTACTGTCTGATSAGTGCGTAGCACGAAACTTTTGAGTAACAGAAAATCTTGCCTCTTTGACATGTATAAATAATTAGCTCTACACTATACACCCTTTTAATAAGTCCCGAGGTATTGTGTTCTCCACACTTGACGTCAAATTTATTCTTTTGAAATTTTTACAATACAAAAGGAATTCAAAAGAATAAATTTGACGTCATGTGCGGAGAACACAATACCTCGGGACTTAATAAAAGGGTGTATATGTGTATTAAGCACTCTTTAATGGGAACAGCTACATCCTCATATGATTATAAATCGTAATTAATTATTTTCCAAAAGTGTTATTTATCAATAACATTTTTAAGTCGTGCGTACAATCTTTTATAWTCCTCATTGTACTCGAATCGAGCTAACTGCCACATGTTTCAACACACTTTTATTATTTGGTTACACAAACTTGTCTTGAAAAATGGTAAAATCTTAAAAAGTTACAAAAAAACTTATAACTATTAAAATATTATAGCAAAAAAAAAACAAAACTGAAACAACGGATCACTTACAACATGGTGTTATATGCATTTGACTATGCTCTTTCCGAGTAAGGTGACGGTCATGTTTCTTTTCTTCTTCGCCCCTGGTGCCTTATGGGTTAACACAGGTATCCCCCYAAAAAACACTAAGATTTGATCGTGAGAAAATGAAAAGTACGATTCTGATACACTCATTACTATTTGTCTTGAACTCTCATTTTGACAATTTTAAAACAACTAAGGTAAGGGGAAGGATTAAAGTGCATCCCAATTTGTTTTCTTGTGCCCTTTGTGTGTGCTGCCTTTGGCTGGGTGTTTTCTTATAATCAGGAAGCCAGGACCAGAAAATGACTGTTTCATTCATCCCTCGCCACAGAAAAGGTTTGACAATGGATTATTGATCTTTGGTATCTCCTGAAAAAGGCTAGATAGTTCGTAGAGTCAAAAAGTTGGGTAGGCAACGAGATAAGGGAGATTTTTTTATTTGARGTATTTCGCTTATCAGCATGAAAATGAGGCTGGCAAATTTTCCTTTGTTTTGAGCTGAAATTCAGTTCATTGTGTGCCGTAAATTGGCCTTTACCTAAACAAGCAGGAGACTGGGTACTAGTTATTTAAATTAACCTAATTAAAAAATTAATCATATCATTGGAAAGACCACCACAAAATAAACAAGATTCCAAAGTTTGGTTGCTTTTGGTTAAATAATGTGTAAGAAAAATTCAAAATTCTCAAAAAAATGTATGTACTGGATGGACACTGTAATTTTCTAACATTTTGAAGGTCCATTTCAGATTTTTGATATTTACAACTGTGGGTTTTCAGATCACTCAAAATGTATAAAAAATGTGAAGTAGATCTCTCTGTTTTTTCAGTGAAAATGAATTTGAAGATAATTCTTTCATAACATGAGTGATTTTATTATAGGTGWCCTTGTGAAGTCAAGTAGTGCTAACCAAACAGGGAAAAATGCTCGGCCGGACATTACTTTGAGGTCTTTGTCAGTCCCAGTGTCCTTGATGTGTCTTCATACTGAATATCCTGGCAAACGTACATTTAGAGTTAGATCTTTGCCAAAGTAAGTTAACCGAGACATCTTGCAAGTGTTATCCAATCATGCAACATGTAATTACCAATTTGTAGCTACATGTAAATATCAATTAAAAATGATGTTTTACAATGTTATAGTTGAYATTTTCTAGCAAAATCACCAGTTTGAAGTCACTTTTCRTGCAAAGGGATTCACAGTAAATGCCACATTGTATTCAATTCTTTCTTTAGTACTGMTTTTGGAATCTCGTCTGCTATGTTTTTGTATCATTTTGATTTAATATAGGGTGTAATATTCCTTGATTTCAATGTGGAGTTCGGGTATGTGCAGGGGGTGGTTCTAGGGGTTCATAAATCCCGTACCTTGGCAGACAAAGTCTGAAATATGAGACCCTTGCACATGCCCTGTTGAACTTTCAACCATGAAAGTTCTATCTTACATAAGTATCGATTAATTATAGATCTATATGTACTTCACAAATGTATCTATACAAAATAAACTCCAGCAAATAATTGTTTTTGCGCCCTTATGCTCTTTAAGAACATCAAATGCTTTTATCTTTTCAGCAATGTTAAAATCAAGAAAGAACCTGYAGATGAAGCAGAAAATAGCGAGCCTGCACAATTGTTAAATAGTGTTACTTTTTCTTCTGTAAAAGTTAAGCAAGAAAGTGAAGATGATTTGGATTACAATAGGGAAGCTATAGTCAATACTGTGTGTGATGACATGAATGCCTTGTACAACAACAGAAAGGAGAATTTGGCATCAATTGGTGATGCTTCAAATTCAGATTTAACTTCTGAAGAAAGCAGTTTTGACGGCCATATATATGGTCCAAGTATTGACTTTAGTGATGTTCCAAGGGGGACCCCTCAGGATGAGGACAGCATGTCACTCTTTGCAGACGAAACCTTTGAAGAGGAAAGTGAACTGGACGAGCTGACAAGGAAAAGGTAAAAACATGCTGRTCATTTGAAAGTTTTGGTCATTAACAAGTTATTTAACATTTAACTGTTACCAAATAATTGGAAATTTCTGTYGACCCAAAAATTACTTTGGGTTACTGAACATAAGTCAGTTTTATCACGCTTTGAAGAACCAAACTGAATGTAAACTTTATAGTAGGTTTGGGTAAATGGGTTCCAAACAGAAGAGAAAAAAAATTGATGTATATCTACAAAAACTAATCTTGAACAATTATTATTTATATCATGCTTTGAAAGGATGTACTTGATTATATATCTCTKTTATAAAACTGTGCCGAATGTCCCTGAGATTATTATTTTGCTTCCAGTGAGCACCTGAGAAAGCAAGCCCAATCAGAAAATTTTACAGATCTTCGTGAAACTTTGGAACAAAATCGTTCTTTACAAAGAAACACTTCACAYGAAGATGAATTTGATAGACAATGCAGATTAGCACCAGAGCAAATTTCAGTAAACAGACATCACCATAAAGGAAAGACATATGAAAACAAGAATCGACGAAGGAAAAAATTAGAAAAACATGGGGACAGAGTACAGCAAGGAAATAAAAGCATGCAAGCGCTTGATGAACTAGCAAGAGCACAGATGTTGTTTAACGTYGTTAAGAAGTACACAGTCAAGCAAGGTGTAATTCCTCAAAAAAAGACTCAGCCTGATGCAAATGTAAACGGTCATTATGATATCAGTAATAATAATTTCAGACAACCTGTTCCCACAGTAACACCACAGGAATTAAAAAGAAGACCTCCAGTGCCTGGAGGGAGAGGGTTCTTTGAAGATCTACATGTAACAAAAGAAGCAACTGTGAATGGAAACTTAGATGATCTGCCTATGTCTTGGAATAAAAAAGAAGCTTTTAAAGATATAGACTTGACAGGGAGTGTTATCAATAACAAGACTAAYCGTAATGAAGCAAAAAGTTATAATACTTTAAAAAGAAGAAGCACTGAAGAAGTTACTAGTAATTGCAGTGAGTCAGAACCTAAAGTACCTAAAAGAACACAAAATACAGGACAGGCTGATAGTACACAACCATATCACCACAAAAGACCCAAACAACTTTACTGTAACACTCAGATGCAGCTTGGAAAGTGTGACTTTGCTTTCTGCAAGTTTAAACATTTGACAGAAAGTGAACTGAAGGAGGTACATTGTACATGTACTGTTTGAAATATTTACTCAAAGTGAATTGTTATCAAAACATTTTTGAAACCTAAATGGCAGTTACTGTTAGACTAGAAGATGAAAAAATMTGTAATTTGCTGTAATTATTTTTAAAGTTTTAACCAAGGAAATGTCAAACCAAGGATGAGCAAGCTTGAATTTTTAAAAACTTCCAACCCTATGACAACTATGTAACATTTGCGTAAAAGTCAATAAACTATCCTTTATTTCTTTCAGTATAAAACCACAGGGGAAATGAAAGATCAGATTCCTCTTGAAAAGTAAGAAAACTATTTACAAACTACATGAAAGTATTGTTTGAGAACTGTTAGGTGAAAATGTTGAGATTGATTCTAGCAATTTAACAATTTCATGCAGAAACAGAAGTGAAAACAAGGTGGAGACCCCAAACTATGAAATTAATACAGACCATTCAAGTGAAGGTAATGCTCATTTTTGATAGTCTGGAAAGAACTAAAGACAAGTATATATGTACTGCTTCTTCTAGCCTCGTCTTCAATCCTTTTTTGTTTGGTAATCAACCAAAATTTTAAAGCGAGGCTATTAGAACAAGTTTCATTCAGTTACATTCGTTGTAAAACATTGAATTTCACTGTTTGCCTCAACAGTTAGTGAAGATGATGATGAACAAATGTACAAAGGAYTAATGGTAGCAGCAAACCAGGCAATGGATTGTAGGAAATTAAGTAAGTTTTATTGATAAAAGTTGAGGTTGTGTTTACTATTCATGCTAATCCTAATAAGATGGCGATTTAACAGCATGTCTTATGAASAATTATTATCTTATTAACAAATATTGTGATGTAATGGTTTAACCTTTTGGTGCTAGCACTTTAGCATTATGGTTCAAAGTCRAACCATTGTTTTGAACAATTCCAAGTTTTGTAAATTGCACATTTGCTAGGGAATATTTGTGTATGTGAATTCCAGCTTTCGCTCTTTGAAGCAATGCAGGAACTAAATTGTCTTTTTAGAGCCACAATATWAATAAAAGTTAGACTAGTTAATGCTCATTAGTCTATTTTTAGTCCCAAGTTATTGTCCATAAGCTATAGAGTGTTTTTTTAGCTTTCAAGCTCAAGACTTGTTGTGTTGCCACATGGCAACAGCATACAAATATGTCTTTTGAAGACACCAACAACATCAAAATTGTGATTATTCTCATAGTTATTTATCTGCAAATCAAAATAGATTGACATTCTCTTTTTACTTTTCAATTGCAAGTACAGTAAGGTTACTTTCAAAAATTTGACTTTGCTACAGGTTTCGTTGCTAATCGAACTTAAACTTGATTCCATGTTTGACAAATGGATACTCTTGCCTTAAATCCATGCACATACTGTATACTTGTGTTTGAATATTTTGTTCGCGAGCACTTCTCTTTGCGAGCAGTTCGCAAGTTTACAGTGCACAGTGATTCCAGGCAGTACTGTATATAGATATATTCTAATGRCTACTAGTAAGAGTAGCTAATTAAATTAAACATGCATGAGCATCATTTTCGTTTGTACAGTCATGTCTGATAAAGGACATAAGTTGCTTGTTTGAGCAACAAACCGAAAAATCAAAGATTGAACACACTCCAAGAATGTTCTGTTTTGCAATTTAAGGGGAAGCATTCCAGATTATTCTCTATCTGTATGACACTGTTCCAAACAATCACCATTCCTTGATTCCACTTGTGGAGAGACTACTTGTTCTTTGTGGTGAAGAGAATGTAGATTTGCAAGTTGCTGCTCAGGTTGGTTTTGTTAAGGGTTTGTCATTTTATTTTATTAGACTGTGGACAGTTAAGTTATGAATTAACATTTGATTGTTAAAAATATGGCCTTAAGTGGCACTCATTCCTTAAAAGCACACAAAGGTATAACTAGAACAGTTTATTACAAGAATATATCTACATGTATGCAATTATAGTTCAAGATGTTAAGACATCACTCATTGTTGATATCTTATTTTAATCTACTTGTGTGCTTATATTTCAGGTGTCAGCTCAGGCATTTGACTTGATTCCTAAAGTTCGTGGTGACTACAACCGTCATGACTTTACTAATTTGATACGCTGTCTCTGTCAAACAGGGCAGTACATAAGGTAAACATTATCTGTATATATATACAGTGGATATTTTCTGAAGAAGGCCAAGTGGTCAAAAAACAGTTCTCAAGCTACAAGTTGTGTCATCGATTTTTTGCTTGTTTTTTTTTTTTTTTACAAAAACATACAGATGTCACACCCATTTGATATTATTATTGTATGCCATTGAAACGTTTTCTGTTAAAACATTAAACTTAAGAGTTGTTGCTACAGTACTTGYCCTCTTATAAGAATCTGCAATTTTAGAACCTGTTAGCCTAATCAAGCTGCCAATGGCGACACAACTCAAAGATTGTTWATGGTATAACGTGAAAAACACTGAGTTGTCTGCCATCTTGGTTATTGATTTCTAAATGCCCGTATGTTTACAGAAAAAATAAGTKACTTATTACCTCTTCAATTGCTTATGCAATCTTCAAGTTAAAAATATCAATTCAGACCCCATTAACATAAGAACCTATTTAGCCTATGATTAAAATAGGTTCTTATAGGAAGGTTCTCATTGAAATTAACCTACAAAAATCTTCATGCAAAAAAACATGACTCAAAAGTAGTGAACTTGAACATGTATACACATCTAAATTTGGTATAAATAATGTTTGAAAACCTTGTAAATTTTCATTACATAAGCCCTGTATTTAGTGATGAACCTATTTAAGAATCTGTGTAGCCTTAAATTCCACTAAGCACCATTTATATAAAAACAGGTTTGGGATAATTTTTTTTAGAAAAGGGTTCTTATAAGTATGTACTGTGTACTGTAGTTTGATGATGGTAGTAATGATGTTTAACCTTGTGTCTGAATGTCAACATCAATTCATTTTACTTGTTAAGGTTACTGTAAACCTTCACTACAATTTCCAAAATCCCAAGTAGGAAAAATTCTTTTTGCATCTTTTTTTGAAAAGAACCATAACATATTACAGTATATATCATATCATAGCTTGTTTACTGAACAATAAGTCTGAGAGGTTTATTCACCAAAATCTTTAATGAATTATTTAGCTGAAGTCAGGATTTTGTTTTTGAGAAGTTAATAATATAACTTATGAAACGTTCCTATAACTAGGCTATTTTTGTGCAATATCCTTAAGGACACAGTCAGGTAAAAAAMCATGTCTGTGTTTTTGGATTAAGATTTTTGTTTTGAAGTTATTGTGTCAAATATTAAATTACGTGTCAAAAATTTGTACTTTAAAATTTAGATTAACATAGCTCTTCAAATAAGAAAAACATTACATAATATATTAAAATACTCTGAATGGTAACAATAACCTAAAGTAGACTTATGTGGACAGTGTAGGAATGCAGCTTTAGTGCAAACTGTGATTTACCTGTGCTAGCAATACCAGATATCTTGTTGCTTTTTCACAGAAGTTTGATAGTGATTTCCAGTTCTTACATAAGCTCAGTGATTGTTCAATTCATCATAACTCTTCTCTCACATTATATTGTTGTCAATGATGCAAATACAAACTTTTTAATGCTTAGACAGTGAAAATAAGTGACAAGGGCTAGCTAGCATTGTGATAACTTGATATTTTCTTCTCAAAGGGCTTATGAAGCTTTGGATGAAATGAAAGCTTTGAATTTAAGTCCTACTCATGAGGTTTTTCTGGACTTGATCAATTCATCACATAAACATCCTTTAAGGTAAACTATTAAACTGATGATTTACTGTTTTAGTGTGGTTAAAGGACTTATTATGATTATTATAATATACCTATTGATTGCAGGGCATTTGAGCTGTTAGATGAAATCAAATCACTTGGCTTGTTTAGATCAAGGTATCATGTGTGCATGTTAGCAGATTTTTGGTATCCTCTTTCTGCTCTTAGGGTTTAAAGTCTGAATATTAAACTTTCATAGAGTCCCTTTGAGTCCTAAGGGATTTCTTGGACTTGCTATGCGTCAAATTCACTAGTTTTGTTGCGTATGTGACACAGCTATCAGATTTCAGCAGTGGTTGCARTGTATTTACAATCTCCATATTTGACCACCAAGAGTTGCATCCATTTGTCAATGGACTTTTGGAAGGAGATTTTCACACCAACTGAACATGCTTAATCAGTAGCAACTCGAGTTATGACCTTTTATGTTGTGAAAATATCCTGTTAATTAAGTAAWTTTTTTATTTTGAAACAAACTAGAGCAGCTTATATTTATTGRCTGCAACTGAGATCTGCATCATTTATATATATAATGATTTTAGGCTATATTGTTGTGAAAATRTATATTTTTGACTGGGTTTGTTTTGACTCTAATCTTTTGTTCAGTATCTGCAGTAACCTTATTCTGTTGAGCTGCAAGGCAAAGGTGCCATTAGTAGGAAGGACATGGGCACTATTCAAGGTAATGAAACTAAAATTTATATATTTTCAGAAAAAAAAAGACCACATGTGCTCTTTGGCCAACTTTAACCATTTTATGGTGAAAACRCTCAGTGTTCAAGCTTGTTGACATTACACTCAGACTAAATGTTATAAATTACAATTAATTATATTGATGGAGCAAGCATAATGTTTATTGTTTAGCTTTTGACCTGACTGTATTGCACTACTTTTAAACATATCAACTGAGAGATTTTTAACGAGAAGGTAAMATTCTCCAAGTGACCATGAGACTTTCTGTTTATCATAATTATATATGAAAGCAAATTATGTTGTGAAAAAAACTTTATATACCTCATTTTTTACCTCAAATAAAAAGAGATCACTAGTGAAAATCACATGATTGTTATTTTCACTAGTGAAAACTAAAAACTTTTGAAAGGCAAGAAATATAGGTATTTCATAGATAACTATATGATAAAAGGCATTACTTGATCAATATTATTCTGAGCATGAAATTTTATGATAACTAAAATACCAAGAAAACTAGTTGACTATCTAAACTCAAGGCCATAAACTGGAAAATGATTCTGACAAAATAGGGTCTTCTTCTTTTCAGGATATGATGGATAAATCAGTAAAACCATCCAAAGAGTCATTTCTGGCACTTCTAGATCTGTTAGCAGATAATTATGAAGTTGACAAGCTGCTCCAAGCATTGGTTTTGTATGATGATAACACAGTCCAACCCTCTGAGAAGTGCAACAAACTTGTCATTAAACATTCAAAAGACAATTCAGATATGGTGTCTCAGTGTGTTAAAAGTGTTTCAGAAATGCAACAACCACAATTGGATGATGAGGTTAGTGCTAATGACAACCTTGTACAATTCTCAAAAAATGACCATTTGAATTGATGTCACAATTTTACTCACCGATAAGCAAATGGGTGCCTATCTAATTATTTTCTTGTTTTGCAGACTTGGAATGACCTTCTATCTAATTGCTATTCCAAAACTTTCAATCTTTCAATGAAAGCCCAGCAGGTTCAAAACTTGATGAAGAAGTTCAACATACCTTTTTTAGCTCAGGTAATTTCTTTCATCAAATCTGTATAGATTTTTGATGCAGTATATAAGTGCAAAGACATGAATGTTCTAGCATGGGGGTCTCCAAAAGTAATACCATGATCACCTCGGATTCTATTGTCTTCTGAGGGGTTTACAAACCCGAATTTCACTCATGAATAACATGAGGGGAATTTAGAACACAAAGGATTCTTTTTGTCTTTTACTAAATTTCCCTCTATTTAATTTATGCCAGGGAAATTTAGAAAAAAAGACATGAATACTAAATTTTCCCTCGGTTTTGGGGAAATGTAATCACTTATTTCCTTCGTTCCATATTACTTACAATAAATGGACTTTTTGCAGGGAAAATGCATTTTGACACTCGAAATTGAATGTTGCTCACTGCTATCCAAACTAGTGCAAAATCTAAATTCTGGCATTTCTTTGACAGCCAGGACCGTTTTTTACCAGATTTTCTCGTTTGGTGTGTATTTTTTTTTTGCTCTAGGTTTCATTCTATGTACTAGATGTCTTGTTGGTTAATGTTTTAGATTCGTGTCACATGATTTTGAGAAGTTATGATCTTTAAAGTGCACATCACCCCTAAAAATGGAACATTTTGAACAAATTCTATAAAACCTGAGCTTTGAAATGATTTATTTTTGAGGTCAGTTGGATAAATTCTGAACAAGATATTTGAGTTTGAATATGGGCTTTTGGGTCGAAGATCAGCTGTGATGTAAATTTAGGCCTACGGGCATGCGTATCGGGCTCATAAACATCATTTCTATGACCTACTTGAGAAAGCTTGATATCTATCTAATTCGAAGGGATTATTTTTAATTTTTTATGTAATGGTTTTTCGATGTTGTGTCCGAAACTGTTCAAACAAAGCCTCAAAAGGTTCTAGAATAACCTTATTTCTAATTCCTTTTGAAAATGACGAGAGAACAATGGCTATAAAGCAGCAAAGACAAGCCTGGACTTTGTACGATACCAGGAATATACTTGTCCTCCTTGTCATCCGAATCAAAGCTCGTTGCTGAGTCAGAACTAAACTTTTCTCGGTCATTTTGTGGACCTATGAACCTATTTTGATGYGAAGTGTGAGAAGTACTTACAACMGTGACAGTTCGATGGTGCCTAAGTTGATGTAATATCTGGTGACCCCCACCAGCTCTCGTATTCCCGTCCAAGGTGTGGTTGTAATAATGTTTAAAAATCTATAAAAAATTCCTCATTGCTTCAAAATCAATTCTGACAATGGGAAATGATTACTGAACTAATACAAATTGCTTCAAATTTTTGAATTTTTAGTGGTGATGTGGACTTAAAAAGCATAGGTCATACAAGTCCTAAATTTGCAAAGTCGGACTGGAAGGAGTTAAAAGGTGACTTGCAACTTCTTATTTTAAAGTCTTTTTTTTCTAGGGCTACAATGGGTTGTTGTGTTCTCTTAGTGAAGCAAATCTAACAATGGCAGCTATTGATGTCATCAAGGATGTAATCAATGACAACATTAGCTTGGCTGAGTGCAAGCAGGGAATGACAGCAGCTGTGAATGCTTTAATGAGAAATAAACAGTTAGAAGACTTGACCAACATCATCCTTTTACTGATAGATCATGGCATTATGGTAAGGAACCTCTTTTTGTCCGTTTAAGCTTAGTGTGAACCTTCGCAACTTACCTTCATTTCAAAAAACTACTTAATGTCAAATTTAAGTCAATAATATTTCAAGAGTTGTATCTAAATTTCTGAATATTTTGCATGCAATTGAGGCTAACAGCRTAAAAGAGGTCGTGAAACTCAATATTTACAATCTAAAAACCAATCGTAAAATCAGTTGTTCTGTATTTGGAGGAAGCAGCCATTTATATTCGCCTCACAGAACTCACACTTGAGTATATATTTTTTGTTTAACCACTTGAGTATTTTAATTCAATTTTATTTGCAATACTTTCAATGTATATATTTACATCTTCTTTTGTACAGCAATATGAAGAAATTATGATCATTTTGATTTATATTCCAAGTATATATCAAATATCAAAAATTCTAATGTTAGGTTGAGGAAAAACCTCTATTAACAGTTCTTCAAGCTTTGGAAGCAAGTCAAGCATATGAAAAAATGCATCAAATTTTTAAGAAGGTAAAAGAGATCTTTACTTTTTACCATACTGTATATTGTATAATTCATTTTTACTATTGTTGCCATTTTTTACTTCGTTTCAACAAAAGTTTCAAGGAAAAGGCTACAGGTTATACATCTTGAAATACTTTTAATACAATGTCCAAGTTTGTATATTTGATTCAAGTAGTCATTAAGATATCAGCGTACCCACGCAACCCCTACTCGTGTCATTGACTATAAYGTTCTTGTTGTTTTGTAGTATATATTATCTGAAAGCTTAGTAAATGTAATTTACGCCTATATATGTTTGAAATGCATTAAAAATTACTTTTCAGAGTTGTTAGCTCCTTCATCTGAAACTACATGCCTGTATTAAACGAACTTTAAGTCTGAAAGAATTATCGGAAAAAAATCAATTTAAGCACTGTTCTTTTGTTCACATATTTTTCTCAAAAATTGTGTTTTCGATTTTGTATACGCGCTCTCATTTTAATTTCATGTTGTGATAAAGTTTAGGAACGCAAAATTATGTTATGATCTTCAAAGAAGGTCACATAACTTTTGAAAAAAGACGACTTATCAAAATCCCAGACACAATTTTGTTGCTTAACTATCTGTAAACAATGCTACGTAATTTGATTAAAATTAGTTGACTGGTATCTGACTTGGAGTTTAAAACGTATGACCTACTTGCTGAAAATKTTGTTTTGAGAAATGAGTCAAAAACAGTTTTAAGCCTGTAATGGGATTATACCAGATTATAAGAACATACTGGAATCTACGTCATGTTAGCACAAAGGAGGCGATGACAGCTATAAAAAAACAATTGAAGTAGTACGGTCAGTTTATTTTCTACAACATCAACTTGTAACTCATAAGATTTTACTGTAAATACAGTTTTCGTAGCAAATTTAGGTTAGGCTGAAGCTAATGTTCGATAATGTCCAGGAATGCCAAATCCCAAGAAGATTAGCRATACCAAAGCGAAGCAAGGATATGTTACTTGTAAATATAATGTATAGTTGATACTTATTCTCGCATGAAATTTTGGCCATCCAAATCAAAACTTTTAAAATCATAAACTAAACWAATACAAGAGAAAGAAGTAGAGTGATCCAGAGAAAAGAGAGGGAGAAAGAAGCATGAAGAGAGAGGAAGAATATGACAACCGAGAATCAACGTGATGGGTGATATACAACTCTGGATCCAAAGGACTGACTTTAATTCTTAATCCATATGAAAACTGCAGTGTGAGCATTTTTTATCGAATATATTGCTTATTGGTCCTTCACACTGGCAATCCAAAGACATGTTCTTTTGTTTCTCTAATGGCATGCTTCAATCGACTCACTCTACACGGTCGTATATATAAAACAACTTTTGTTGTAAACTTCGTATCTTTTCAAAACTTAACTAAATGCCTAGATCTACAAACGATCTTTCCAATGATATAAAAATCAAAAACTCATTAAAATGTGACGGTTTTGGGTACGCTGATACCTTAATAATTCATGAGCTATTATTCAAATGAGCATCAAACTATTGGGTCACATGATSGACTTTAAATCTTGATAAATCACTGATTTTTTATTAATCAATTAATCAATATATGAGATATAAGGAACTGATGTTCAAGTTCATTAGCACTTTATCACAACCCAACACTAGCAAAGGTCTTAGTTTAAATGACACATCATAGCTTTTAAATCAGTTTGATACAATGTGAAGTTGACACTTAAGCATAGAATAGCCATTCTTCTATGTGGGATAAAAAATTTTCAGTTGTGGCACAATGCAAATGTTCATTAGAAGTTTAATACGCATTATCAYTATTTTCACATTTTTTCTAATATGATAACAATCTCTGGATGTTGGAGTTCCAAAAGTCATTTTGTAGATTGTGGTGGGTGTTTTATTGGGTATATAGATTCTGGGCTGCGGCTCAAAAACCTGATAAAACACGCACTCTTGTTGTATAAACAACGCTTGCATATGTTATTTTAATGTTGTAGTGTGAAAAGGCAAGCTTAACGATGACTGTAGCATGCTTCAGAAAAATTTATTTATCTCTGGAAAAGTGGGCTCAAAACCCAGCTGCCTCACTGGATGTCTACACAACAATGAAGCTAGCTTACCCTATTATACCAGACTCATCTGATTCAGAAAAAAGGTGTGCTGTCTTTGTATCATCTTGTTTTGTTTGCKTTTTTCTTTTCCTTACATTAGCATATATGGGCTCTAAATAGAATTTCAGCTCTTGATCTAAAACTTATTAAACTTATCCAGACAAGTTATTCAATAAGTTAATGTAATGATGGTATGCTTCTTTTTTTGAACTGTATTAGTTTTACATTTTTTATTTTTTGGTGTTTACCTATTTTCAAGAGATGATTTATTTGTCATAAATGATAGATTTTGTAGTTATTAAATTCGAGAGCTTTCATTGCAATTATTACAAGAATAAGTGTGCTTCAACAAGGTGGCGTTCTGATCCCAAGCAATTACTCCAATGCTACAATATCAYACGCTTTTTTCTATGTTTTCAGACATGAAGGAAATTCCAAAAGACCTATATGCAAGTACTTTTTTGCAAATAGATGTAATTTTGGTTCCAAATGTAGGTTTTCACATCCTGCTCATTCTTCAGGTAACTAAGTAKATCATTCTGTGTATGAGTGAGTTTGTTAACATCTGCTCTGTTTTCTGGTTTTCATTTGATATTTCTGTAATATATTGCATATTTGCATCTTTTGAATATGCAAATGTGACCTCACGAGAAAGCGTTTTTCCTTAATGGGCATTAAACAGTTTATTTAAACRTTAAAACACTTTTGTCGAARCGTTAAACGTTTTGAGCAAAGTGTTTTAACGTTTTGACAGAGTTTTAGACGTTAAGAGCAAAAYGTTCGAATGCTTTGCCACTGCGGTAATCGTTAAGAGTAAACCATTAAAAAGTTTTGGTAAACTGTTATCAMAGCGTTAGCTTAATTTTAAAAAGCATAGGCGAAGCTTTAGCCACATTTCCAAAAGCGTTAGCTCCATTTTTGAAAAGAGCTAGCAAAGCTTTAGCTCTTGGTGCTTTTTCCAAACTGTTTATTCACGAAAAATTAGGCAGATCTTTTGAACTGTAAATAGTTTCTAGAAATAAACGTATATCTCAATCRCATCAWGTTTGAAGAGATTAGACCACAAAAACCAAATATCTAAACCATTATTGTTGACAACTGACATGACTTTCTGTCAAAGAATTGAAAGTATCAAATCGACTGGGATGGGACATCAAATGAAACGTAAACAAACGTTGAGCTCAGTTTTACAAAATGTTTTTGTAATACTCTAATTTTCTGGACTTTGACTGTAAAGAATTTGAATTTGAGTTAAGTATCGCTAAAATGCAGRTTTGAACTACAGCATATTTGTAATTCATTTTTTTAGATGAAGAAAGCACTAGCATACCAACAGAACAAAGCAACCCATTTGTATTGCGAGCCACTATTCCAAAAGAGACAGTATTGCCAGCCCCACCATTACCACCACCACTACCACCCCCATTTTCTCTCTCCATGAACCCACTGATTACAGTTGCATCATTTCCACCTGTTGTTGAACCATGGAAAATACCTACCTCTCAAGCTAATCCTAAGGAGAATTGTATACCTAATTCCTCAAGCCTTCCACATAGTACAAGCCCGGATTTATCTTCTCTAAAACAAGAAAGAAAGCCTAGTAGTAGCCAAATTATAGATGATCTGAAGACAGAGGTTTACTTATATGAAGATAGGATAAATGTGAGTATTGTAGCGAGCCTGCTTTGAGCGATTGAAGTTAACTCTGGAAATTGYTCACTTGTTTCCATACAAGTGTTTGTATTCTTTGTTATTTCWGTGTAAATATTGACATTTTTTTCTAGGCTGCTAAAGAAGAACAAAACTTTGAAGAACTCGCGAGAATATATGTTGAAATGAAAAATGACAAAATCCCAGTTTGCAATGAGATGCTGAGAGTTTTCTATTCATCATTCACATCATTTAGTAACATTGGAGAGTCACTTTCAAGTTTTGTAGCTATTATCGATATTCAGCTAGATAATCCAGATTGTGATGAGGCTGAAAGTAGAGAGTCTCTTGATAGTGAAGATCATAAGTTCATTGGTGAGCTTGGAGTTGCATTAATGCAGTTATGCAGAAGTCAACAACGACTAGATGAAGGTTATTTGGTGCTTCATGTACTTCACCAGTACAGCATCAACTATTTCCAATATCCAGGTAAGGACCATGTTATTTGTCACTGAAATGAACTGTATCATTGTGTTGTCATTTAATGATAAAAGTTTATAAAAGATTTTATATTTTACCAAGTTCAAGGTTTCTGCTAAATCCAATAATTTTTGACATGAAGAAAGGAACTCTAATTCTGCATGCTGGGAAGGCACATCCATGTTAACCTGAGTATCAGGCTCTCGAGGGGGAAATATGGAAASAGAAGAAAAAGGGAGAGCCTGACATGAAAGTAAATCTAAGYCATTCTGCCTCCTTAGTACCGTTAATACAGTAGCCAATGAAAATCGCTTCCGGTTGTCATGCTATCATGTCACACAGCTGAATTATGTCCGTTGATATTCTAAACCATGTTTGCAGCATAGCTTTTAAATGTTAGTCCCATAGGACTAACAACAATAATCTTCATTTCCTTCACCTCTCCTGTCTTTTGATACCAATGAATTGCTGCTCAAAACCTTGGGAAATAACTGATAAAATTTCTCYGTATCCAGTTGGCCATAGAGGACAGTGTTTTCAAATATATTAACTCTTTTTTGTCCTTGAGACTGATGCCGTAACAGCTTCCGTACATTCTTCTTTGTTCATGATTTTAGAAAACTGTAGAGTAGCAGTAAACCGAGTATTAGCTGTCAAGACAAACCTGTACGTGACTTCACCTTTGCGTCTTGGGTTTCACTTCAACTTTAAGGTTCTATTGTTCAATCGACCAATAAGAAGAACATTCGGATTCTGAATGTTTGACACAGCATAAAACCCCTTTTATGTCAGGCCTTCCTTTTCCCCTTCCTCTCCGCCCCAGGCCCACTCAAAGGCCTGATACCCAGGTTACATCCATAAATATCCAGGTTACATCCAGTGATCTTTCATCTTTTCCTGTTCAGTAAGAGATGATGTTTTGTGCTTATCTATCAAGCAACTACTATCTAACAACCCATAAAAGAATGGAATATGTTATTAATTAAAGCATTAGCCAATGAATGCTTTCATTCTTAGCAGAGTTCATAAAATGGGAACTTAATGGCATCTCTAATATTTGACTTTTGTTATGGTTAAAAGATTCTATATGTTAACATTKTATTTTTTATTGGAAAAATCCATCATTTTTGATATTTGTCATAGCAGCAATCTTGGTTCAACTTAGACAATTGAAGTCTCATTAGTATCTGTTGTTTATTCAGTCAAGATGGCTGCATGTTTTTTAACCTCATTGGAATGCTTGAAAACAGCCAATTACTTTTGAAGGATGGCTATTATCATGTTGGAGRGATCAGTGTTTGCACTTAGGGCCCTTTTGTCAATTATTGCCAGTAAAAATCYTTAAAGGGCTATGCAAGTTATTCATTTCCATGAGAGCCGTTGATGTAGGAGTTTATGCAGTAGGCAGCTGATAGAACTAAAGTGATAACTAGCAGTAAAATAATGTGAGCTGCTTCTGTGTTTCTTAAATAGTTATGAAATAAGAAATTTAAAACCATAAAAAGTAGGTGAAATAACTTCATGACCTTTCAGATGCTAGCAGTTCATCAATTTTTCTAGAAATCTCAGTCCATCTAAACATCTGCTGATTCCCAAGTCATACAACYCAAAACTTATGGCTTGCGTTCCTCTCGTCAACTAGTGCACCTCTAATTTTGAGCTCTCTGCCTTCAATTCGAGACATTCATGACTTATCAACTTATCAAATCTAAATACTTATTTATTACTTATTATTTTTATTTTATTAGCTTATTTTTTATTTTTGTTTTATTAGAATAAACTATAACTGTAAATACATGAATAYCTACATAAATAAATATCATACAAACACACAAAAAAAGAGAGTGACACCACAAGAGTAGAGCCAATTGCAGCGGACCCAAAGTAAAACGATTAAAAAGTCAAAAACAATTAAAATACATACAGCAAGTTRTTGTTACGTTTAGAGGGCGGGCACAAGTACATTTTAAACATATGCTCCCAGTCTGGCCTTGTAGCTCAGCTGGTAGAGCATTGGTAGTACAATTCCGAAGGTCGTGGGTTCGAATCCCAGTGAGGTCAGAAATTAATTTTTCCAAATTTATTCCTGAGGGTCTTTCTCMCGGAATTGYCTCCTTCTAAGCACTGTAACTTTCTTTCATTTCTATATCTGTTACATTTTAAACAGATAGTTCTTGGATTGTAAGGGTCATAGGAATTAGAGAGACTGTCCAGATCAATCTTGAAGTATCAAAGTCTAAAAGACTCACTAGTGTGTTCCATACACAACAGGATYGAATGAAAAAGGCTTTTGATATGTGCTAGTTTTACAGTTTTTGGGAACAAGTTTGGTCAGGCTGTTAGAGTAACGTGTAGGTMTTGCAACATGTTTAACAGTTAGAACAGAACCATTCAGAGAAACGAAGTTATGTGTGGTCTTGAAAAAGAATGTCTTGTCCAACAGTTTCATGCCAATAAGTTGCCAGAAGAAGTTTAATGATTAGAGTCGCTGTTTATAGTCAATAGAAGTTGAGAAGGGCAAACGCAATATCAACTTTGAGGCACGTCTTCGATTCAACCTGCCCACACAAGCTCACCAATATGGTGCACAACAGAAGCAATGTTTTGTCAATACTTTCTTAAGTATTTGGTCATTTGCCTGTTTTGCAAGACTTTGCTTGGCCTTTCTTAATGACGCCAGATACAGTTATCTACATGGCGAAAATGCTGTAACTGCCCAATCAGAAATATGTAATCCAGTTGACAATGCTATGACGGGTGCCAACTTGTTTCAGCTTGATCACTAATCCTCCTTGTATGACAACTATATTCTCCAAAATTGTTGAAACTAACGGTAAACTAGTGTGAGCTGTGGCAGTGTTTCTAAAATAACAGTTTCAGATGTGTAAAAAGATTTAACAATGTAAAAAGTTGGTGAAATAAGTTACTGACTTTTCAGACTTTAATCCTTCGTCAGAATAAAGAGATGAAAGATTAACGACGAAGGATTAATGTCCGAAACGTAATTAAGTTATTTCGCCTAATTTTYTAAAGTGTTAAATTTATTTTTTTACACAACTATTTTCTCCAAGCATTCTAAATAGGTCTGTTTTTTATTTCTTTATTTCCCCACAGTCTAGCCAGTCAAGCCAGTTTAGAATGGAGAAGTAAGGCATGTCCTTCCCTCCACTAGCCTGCTTGTGTGCCTTGGGCAAGCACTAGTACACTCTAGCCTCCCTTACCAGGGTTACGAGTTATCTGTTTCTTTCCTTTTTTTTTTTTCGTGTTTTTCCTAATCTCCCAACAGGTAGATAGTGGACGAGGAAACCTTTCCCAACGGTTTCCTTGCAAACGATTTTAAAAGACGTTTGAGRCATGGAGCACGTTCYGGAATCTAGAGCATCTCTGGAGGAGCAACAAACTGCCTATCAAGACCAAAGTGAAGTTGTTCAGCACAACATGCATCACATTCCTCCCCTGTGGGTGTGAATCCTGGGTAATAACAAAAGCCATGGAGGACAAAATCAACTCCTTCGCAACATCCTGCTTAACAGTTATGCTGGGACCGAGTCCCAAACACCGAGATACACTCCAGGACTGAAACAAAACCATTGATTCAGCAAGTTATAATCCGCTAACTGAAATCTCTGGCCATATCCTGCGACACCTAGGCGAGTAACGTCAAGTGTTATTCTCTATACATCCCACCCCATGGAAAAAGGAGRCGAGGCTGACCACAAATGACATATCTGAAATACAGTCAGCAGCGGCTAGGTGACGGCGATGGCACTCTTCGAACCGATCAGATTGCAGACATGACGAAAAACCGTGGACAATAGTGAGGGATTGTGGTCGCCTGCACTGCAGCCGAATGATGATGATGATTTCCTCCCTGTATTCCCTTATAAGGGTGGCAAGGGTGGTCTAGTGGTTAAGCTACTGGCCTCTCACCGCTGTGGTCAGGGTTCGATTCCTGGGCACGGACCATATGTGAGTTTGAGTTTGTTTGATGTGTTGTTCTCTCCCTTGCCACGAAGGTTTTTCTCCGGGTCCTCCGGTTTTCCTCCCTCAGTAAAAATCAACATGTGAGGAGTGTTGTGTGCTAAAATAATTAATGTAGAGGTAGTGAGTGTGAGGGCCACAAGTTCATCAGTTCTTTACTGTCACGTGTTACCCTCGTAAAATAAAGTCAATTTATTTATTTTATTTATTTATTATAGATCAATCTGCCAGCACGGATGCCGGCAGCTGAAACAGTGCCAAAAAGCTTGTTCTGACCTCCAACACGCTAGCAAGGATATATGAAGCGATTTTGATTGACTGTTACCAATTCGAATTCTAACATGGCTAACCCACATCCGAAAGACATTGATGTAACAGGTTTATGTGGACAGTTGAATGAGAGATTCAATGAATTTGACCTGGTAAATATCCTTGATCYAGGAGGTCRTGCAGCTGAAATCTGATGCACCACACTGGCTCAAAGAATTATCTTTGYCCTGTTGATAGAGGCAAGGATTTTTTGCATCCTTGAGGAGGTAGTTGGTGGCTAGCAGAATCCAGGAGGCATAGTCATTAATAGATCATGGACTTAATGTCCTGTATTCTTGGTCAATTACCTAATTCAAGGAGGTCATGGAGACTACACAGGTTGGCCATCAGGTGCTCTACTGATGGAGAAGACCAGTTCCCCAAGATGTTTTGCTCTTGATCATAGAATAAAGTTTGTCTCAATGAACTTTGAAGCCTTCCAGACCTGTGATCTGTTTGAGGATCGTACAAATCACCAGTGTTTGTTAGGCTATTATCCTCTGGTGATTCCCCTGAGGGGACTATGGATGTCTGTATAAACTCTAGAGGTGTCTGAATAGTCTCTACAGTTGCCTGAATAGGCTAAGGGTGCTTGAGAAGCATTTGCAGTCTGAGCTAATTCAGATCCAAGGTCCTTAATGTCATGTTGGTCTACAAAGGCAGAAATGGAATCTCGTTTGTCATTGCCTCTGACTCGGGTGAAAGTTTCTCCATCTTTT